CTGAGGCATAAATATCTCGCTCTCTATGACATCTCCATCATTGTCCTCAATTAGGTAAACTAGAAAAAGATAAAAAGATAGATGAACTTTCTTGAAGTGGAATTGTATACCTTATAATGAATGTAACAACTTATTTTATTTAGTTATTACTGGATGGCTGGAAGCTATAGGAGAATGATTTCTTAGCAATGATACCACATTGAAAATCTCAATTAAAAAACAAAGAAAATTAAATGCCCAAGATGTGAAAATGAAAATTAAGCTCGTAAACTGATATGTCCCGGAAAGGGATATATTTGTTCGAAGTAGCAAAGTGCTTGTTGACTACTGTAACCAGGTAAGACAATCTAGCAGGTAACCGTAATAGACTGGTCCTCGTCGTAGTGGTAGGCAATAGTTGTAGGCAATAAGCGAAGACAATAGGCATAGACCTTATACCTCCATATCAGTCTGTATTTATGGCTGACGCTAGCCAATCATATTACTGTGAAGGGGAACCTAGGTGTATGCATATTCATTACATCATAAACAAAAGTCTCCTAGACAGAAAAAACTAATGAGTATAAAATACAGTCCAACCTCTTTAATTTGGTACCTTTGAGACCAGGCTTCTATCAGATCACAGAAAATGCTGTATGTTGGAAATCACCCCTAAAAACTCCTCTATGTAAACATAGTCTTGCCAGTTCATTCCACATATATATTACTGCATTATCAAAAGTAGAACAAAGCTTAAAACAGGAAATAAAACAATCATTAATACTTCCAAACAAGCTTTTTATTGTTTCATGCAATACAAAGACTAAAAAAAAAGCCTAAAACTAATATATATACTTACTATCCTGAATGGGTAAATATGCAGCTATATATAAGAAATGAGCAAGACCGTATCACCAAAACACACTGCTGCTGTCAGCTGCTGTGGAAAGTTGTAAACATTTAGCATAGTCCTTATAGTTGCTCAATAAACTAATAGTCACAGTTTCAAAAAAAATGTTGGACAATGGGAGTTACCGGGCTACAGGGTGCCAAAATAAAGATGGACTGTACAATTTTAAGCACCAGAATAGTGGAGCTTCTGACCCATATTTCTTCTTGTAAAAGTGTCTTAATATCAAACTGTTATAGATGTAATATATGGAAAGATATGACTTGATCAAACAGTGTGATGGACAGCATGATCAAAATACAGGATTGCTTGTCATACCTAATAATATGGTGTGATTAAAGGAAATTCATGATTAGGTCTATTCTGGAATATTGTCCTCCCAGCTCTTTCTCTCTCTTTGTACTTTTCAAGATTGTCTAAGCAAACCTTGCTGATTGGGAGATGAACACAAAACATTTAATATTATTATTTCCTTTACTAACCTATTATTTATATTTTTTTATAGTTTATATATATATATATATATAGCAAACTGCCCCCCCCCCCACTTCTTAAATTTTTAAAAATTAGAAAAAAAAAATTTTTGTTTTGATCAGGAGTACTTAATCAATAGTAATATGAAAATGAACGGAAAAAATATTATTTCTTGGAGATGTGCATTTCTGTAGAAATGCTGAAAAATGTAATTTAACTTTGATAGGAACTAAAAATGAAACTGATTCTCAGTATTCTGGGTCTATCAAAAAGTGTATATAGATATTCAATTGTTTTTTTCTGTCCTGACCACTCTTGTTTTTTTTATACTTATTTATTTATCTCCCAGTTCAAAACAAATATTATTACTGGAAAATTTTTTAAAGACAACTTCACAAATCTATGATCAGTTGATAAAAAAATGAATGTATTATATTCTGTTGGCAATAACAGAGAATGTTTAATTAAGTGTTTTCTACAAAAAAAAAAAAAAAAAAAAGGAAATGAAAGATGCAATTCTTGCTCTAATACTGAACCTGTATCACTGAAATGAACTCCACGAGATTTCTTGTCGCCATTACTTTTCCTGAGAATGCATCTTTTATGCTTTGAGTGACTCTTGTTGGCCAGGTGTTTGAGTGACTCTTGTTGGCCAGGTGTTTGAGTACCTCTTGCTGGCCAGGTCTTTACGTGACTCTTGGCCAGGTGTTTGAATGACTCTTGTTGGTCAGGTGTTTTTTCTGTCCATTTTGATGCATTGTTTAAATCATTTGTGTCAGAAAGAAGCTAGCAAGAAATGAGAAATAAACAGATTACAGTCAATATAAATTAAGGGCAAAGAGTGCCAAAAACTGTAATGCTTGTTTGAATTTACAAGATTAAAAATTAGCATTATTATATAATAGAAAAAAAATATCACCATTTGTCATTATATTCTAGGCAAAGTCCAATGAAATTACAAAGATTTGGATTTTATGTCCCTGAAATTTATCCTTTAGAATTTCCGATTATACTTTCCCTCTATGTCAGACCGATATAATTAAAAATGTGAAGTTCCAAATTGATTGAATTAGCTACAGGTCATCAGAGTAAGTTTTTAAAGTAAATTACTGAGTATGGGTGAGATAGAATCAGATATAGAGAGAGGTAGGATGGCAAGAAAATTAATTTTTCTTTATCTATACCGAATTAAAAGGATTAATTAGAAACTAAGACTGAAATATTGGTCAAATAAAGTTGTGCTTCCACAAAACTAAATTTCTCATATGCGATCAATTACTGAATTTTTTCTGATGAATGCAAAAAATTTACTATTTTGAAAACACCTTGTGTCCCATACATGGTAGTCTCACAGGTTGCATGCAGCTTGTGGGCTACATTTTGGGCAGGGCTGCTCTATTTCTTCAATCCCATTAAGATGAACTCATTCTAAAAACTACATGTCATATTACATGAACTTAAGAAAGCATTAAGAACAATCATGATAAAACATGACATGAATCCATAGAATTGTCCATCTCTATGTAGTGGCCTCTTCTGATATTGTATCAAAAAAAACTATCATTTTAAAGGAACTCTTAAACTCTGATTGACTCTGTTGGCTCATAAACTTTTAAAGTAAGATAGGTTTAATTTTATATATATATATATATATATATATATATATATCCAAAAGAAGAGAAAGGGCAGATTTAGAATCCACAGTTCTCTGTCATTTACTTTTTTAAAAAAGGGTTCAATACAGCATAGAGCATAATATTTTTAATAATATTTTTATTAAAAATATTTTACATTGCAACACAGAAATTTCTATGCTTTAAAACTGAAAGTTTTTTATCTCGTCATCAGGCAATGTTTAGTAACTTTGGTGAAAATGATTTACATTTGAAATAGAAAACAATATGTTTGCTTAGTAAATAATTAATATGGAGGTGGGGAAATCCAGATTTTTAGATCTTATGGGTGTGTCAATTTTAACTAATCAGAAGGAAGGTCAATGCTTAATTTGAAAAGTTAAAAAACTTTTAAAAACATTTATTGGTTTGCTGTGCATTCAAGAAATGTTTGTAAAGAAAATGTGTTCTCTGGCAGGGATCAAATCTGAGCCACCCTTTGTAGGGCGAATAATCGTTTGATCTGATGTGCTTTACCATGAAGGATATAACTGTAAGCAAAGCTCTTAAAGCACACCAGATCAAACAGTGATTTCCCTTACAAAAGGGGATGCAGGTTCAATCCCTGCTGGAGAACACATTTTCTTTACTGAGATTTCTCAAATGTACATAATACACAGTTTAATAAATTAAAATGGGGCATCTATTTCAAATACAGAATGCCCACTATAATAGCATCTGCAGTAATAAAATATTGGATTAAAAATATATTCATTAATTTAAGAATATATATATATATATATATATATATATATATATATATATATATATATATATATATATATACACACCTTATGCAAATTAATTGAAAAATAACCACTTCAGTTTCCTTTCTTTCACCATATAGTCAGTTTTAGACCCACTGGAGTGACAGGGTGTAATCGATTTCTATTTTTTACTCAGATTAGGTCATTTGCAGTGGTGTGCAGTAATATGAATCTATTTTCGAGGTGTATGATGAAATTTGTTTGGCCTTGAAAAATATTGCATCATCCATGATTGCATCATATTTTTATCATGCCCAGACATTATTGTCTTGATTGTCAATTAGTTGTCCTACAACCATTGTCTGCAAGAATGTATATGGAAATTGTAACACTGCACAAACACAATGGAGTGAGCAAATCAAAGTATATTGATTGACCCAGAAATTCTCCTGATTTAAATCCAATTGAGAATCTGTGGTCAATCTGCAAGGAACGACTTCATGGAATGGACATACGAAGTATTAACATGTGCACTGTGTCATATGTCATTGTAAAAATACAAAAAAAGTAAATAATAATGGAATTATTCATTTTGTTTCAATTAATTTGCACAAGGTGTGTGTGTATATATATATATATATATATATATATATATATATATATATATATACAGATTGATAGATAGGTAGGTAGATAGTAATAGTTCACATATGTTCCTTATATTATGCAAAAAGTAGATGACAAAACATTCTTTCTATACTTTTTTTTTATGTAGTTGACATGTGGGAGTACAATAAAGTTTTAAGAAATCACAAAAAACACAATTCAATATCAAGTACTCACAACAGTTGCAGAAGTGACCAAAAATTTTATAATTTCCCCCAAAATATTTTTGACATTCACTTTTAGTGTGTGTGTCTGTGTGTATACATTTATGAGTTAAAGATCAGATGCAGATCAAATATGGATCAACATCTGACAGGATGATAAAATAAAAGAACAAATAGGAAACATATATCAATCTAACATGTTTCACTTTTATTAAAGCTTCATCAGAAATTGAGAGAAAACAGACAAAAAAGCATAAACACTAGCATTTTCAATTATGCTTGGGTTTGTTCTCATTCATAAGACAAATGTCATGTGACTTAAAACTACAGATAATTCTATGTGCATATACATTTGTGAAGATTCTTCTATGTCCAAGTGGGCATCGAATGGTAATGTGTATTTGTAATTGTGTATGTGTGGTGTATCTGTCTAATGGGAGTTTCATCTTCACCATTGTGCAGTCAAGCCACGCAGTGGGGAGTCAAAAGGTTCTAATTTATGACTGACCTCTTTAAGAATGTATTCTTTGTATTAGATAGATATATGTTAGATTCTTTAAGAATCAATTCAAAGAAAGATGGCAATGTAATGTTTTAGACGTGTGTTTATAGTTGGTAATAATGCTATTATTAACTTTTCAATGTATTTTCTCCTTAAAACTATGTTCTATTTTAATTAATTAGAGTGGCATTAGTGATATATATATATATATATATATATATATATATATATATATATATATATATATATATATAAAATTATATTGCTGAGGTCAACACCCAGAGGTGACAGTCTGTTTCATGCTTAAGCACAATCTTCAGACAAAAATAATTTGAAAACATAACTGTTACTGTTCACCCAATAACTGTTAGAATAATATAATAGGCGTACCCCGAAGGCAGCAACACCCAGTATATATAAATAGCCAAGACAGAACACAGTACACATGGCCTGAAGATTATGCTTAAGCAAAAAAAAGACTGTTGATACTGGGTGTTAACCTCAATGTCTACTTTTATATTTACATACTCTCTATTCTTGATGTTGAGCTCTTTTGCCCATAAATATAGCATACCTTAAAATTATATTTTTATCATATATATAAAATTATATATTAACACAGCACCTACCTCATTACCTTTATTAGTTATTTGTTTTTTGACTTTCACTCAGTGTTTAGAAGTATGAAGATATTGGGTTCAATCCCAGTCTTTACTGTGATGATTTTTATTTTTTTTATTGGATGAAGCATTATCAACTCTCATTTATTTTCTCTAGTATTTTTTCATCTTAATTCTTAGTTGCTAAGTTTTTTATCCAATGATGGCTGCAGTCTGATGGTTTGAATAGATGAATGAAAAGCAACTAATATTTCAAAGTAAAAAAAAACATTAGTTAAAAATCAATAATCATTCCCTTCATTATAAATTACAAAAATGAAAATAAAGCATTTCGTACCTGATCACAATTGCCTTCTGTTTAGAATCCAGTTAAATTTATTTAAAAATCTAAAAAAATTAATATTTTGTTCAATGCTGTCCAACATTTAGCTGCCCTCAGCCACTTATACATTTTCATATAGACATGATTCATTTAAAATAAAATTTTCTTTTTTTTCATCTTTTACTATATATCTAAATGTAGCCTGCTTTATTGTCCTTATTTTATTATAAGTGTAAGAAAAATTATGTGCAAAAAAATGGCATAGTATGAATAAAAAGCAACACCATAATCTGATGTTTTTATTAACACAACAAATAATGACCTCAGTGAGTAGAAGTAAATTTATATGTAATGTCTTTTTTAATTTTTCTGATAAATTCAAACATATATTTAAAAAAAAAACATCTAAAAATATTAAATATAAATTGATATCATTACCAGGATATGTATATATGCACTAATCTGTTATTTTAAATTCAGAATGTGCAGAACTCATACAAAGGATAGGAAATTGTGGAGATCCATGATCACTGATGTCTTGAATAAAACTATGTATCAATCTGTTATTTTAAATTCAGAATGTGCAGAACTCATACAAAGGCTAGGAAATTGTGGAAAGCCATGATCACCAATTGAAGGGACACAACACATAGAAGACTGTTATGATTCATGATGATATTTCATCATTCTAGAAATAAAGATCTGAAATTTCATCTTTCTAAAAAACAACCTTTCCACTAGTGATGATTCAGGATGATGATGATGATATTTCATCATTCTAGAAATAAAGATCTGAAATTTTATCATTATAAAAACAGCATTTCCACTTCAAGCAAGGGAGCAGTAGTAAAAAAAGAACACAGACTGGACAAGATGTATTATCTTCGCTCTGTGAAAATCCAGAGTTGATAGTTTCAAAATCTTCCCTTAACCACAAAATTCTCAGAACAATTATAAACAAGTAAGCCCAACGTTTAAAGAAACAAAAACAGACAATAAATCTAGGAACATTTAACACACACAAAACCAATACTGTAAATAACATTCATGAAAAGAAAAATGCACATTCATGTCATTAATTTCAACACGTGTCTCAAAGTGTTATTATTGTATGTCATTGTTGTACATTTTATCCATTTCATTTTCAGTATGAAAAAAGAAAAAGAATCCTCTATCAACTATTAATACATTTAACATGGAGTAACTTACATTAACAATTCAAAATCAACCCCATTACAAGACTATGCACCAACCTTTTATTTTAAATTCAGAATATATAGAACTCCTACAAAGGACAGGAAATTGTGGAGGTACATGATCGCTAATGTCTTGAATGGGCACAACACATAGAAGAAGACTATGCACCAATCTGTTATTTTAAATTCAGTGCCAAAACAAAAATCAAACTGGGATTCAGAGCAATTAATTTTAACCAGTAACAATATTCTAGACATTCCAGACTTCACCAATAGCCAAGGATGACATCTTGATTCAGCGTTGACCACAGACTGCATGAAATTGCTTTGCAAGCTGTATGTGAGCAATGTGTTGAACATCACTGACCTCATTGTAGTCAATGTTCAAAATAACAATGATGAAATGATAGATCAGTACTTACTGGATAATGTGTATCTTCAGAGTCTTCAAATGTAGTTCCTGAAAATTAAGATAACTCATTTGTTACTAATTACAGATTTTTTTTTGAGCCACAATAGAAAGAAGGTACAGTGATGAACAAATGGTTAACACCAAAAAAATTAAATTAGTGAGACAAGTTCAAATTCCAGCCGAGACATTACTGAGAAATTACAGTTCTAACTTTCATGACTAGGACCTGGCATGCCAAATTGCAGCAAACAACCCACAGTCCCTCCATATTCCATTGGTCAGAAGTCAGTTTCACTTCAACAGCTTCTTCCAGTGAATCATTGCTTTGTGGAACTGACTCCCAAGATGATGTTTCCCCAATCATTATGATCTTAACCTGTTCAATTCTAGGGTTAACTGTTATCTCCCCTTCCTATCTGTACAAACTGTCTCTTAACGTAGCCCTCCACCATGAGTGGCCCTCTGGCATACACACGTGGACCTTACTGTCCAAAAAAAAAGAGAGCAGGAATGTGCTCCATCCTTCCAGTTATAGATAAATAGCAAGAAATAAAAAAAAAATAATCAAGTCAAGCATTAATCTTTGTTGCTGGTACCATATGATCAAACACAACCTGTCACATATCAAAGAGGAGTCAGGCAGTTCCATGTAACTTCTATTGCCCTGGGAGATACCATGAAAATTGAGTATGGTACCTCAAATATCTAAGAGGCTATATGATTTGAGAATAGAAAAATAGAGATATTTGGAAAGATAAATATCACTTGACCACTATCTTGCCAAATTTCCTGACTTAAACAATAAAAACATCCATTCCATTTATTTTTACAATTGATAAACTTTTTATTTTTGTTTCTATTCTGACAGATTTGAATCAATTCACAACAATGACAAAAGTGAGAAAGGTTTTTATTTTTGTGTTTTTACAACTAAATCTTTCTCAGCATGTATGAGTGTTAAAGTTCCTTGTTTGTAGTTTCGTTAAGATGAAAAGAAATGTGATTTCTTTACGTGTATGTATGAAAAAGCAAAAAGAAGCAAGGGAAAAAGTGAAGAGGAAAGTGTAAGAGTCACGTAGCTTGCTGAGGAAGATAGGTGAATGAGTAAGGGAATCTCTTTTAAACCATTGTTGTGCACTGTTGCCATTCCTTACTGTCTTGTCTATAAACTTTACTTATATACTCTTCAAAGGGATCATGAAGCATGTTTTTATTTTCAGTGAGAACATGACCCATTGGTTGAAAAATGTTAAATATTTATTTTCAAAGGATTAATTTATTAACTAGAAGGCTACACAAATCCATTAACTCAAAACCATTTTTTTGTCATTTGATGTTTGATTATCTTGATGTTTTTTTTTCTGTCTTCACTCCAAACTATTTTTGATATTACTTCTCAAAATTAAATTCTTGCTCATAAAATCATTCACATCTACAGATTTGGATTTTAGTAATCTCTGAAATTATTAAAAGCTTGTTTTATTATAAGTTTTTGTGTGGTATTTTTTCATTTCTATGGCTTTCCACTTTCAAGTTTTAAAGCTTACAGCCACATCACATTGAAAACACAGGTTCCCATATTATCACCAAAGTTAAGCAATGTCAAGCCTGGTCAGTACCTAGATAGGTGACTGCTTGGGAATACTAGGTGCTGCAAGCTTGGATGTGAGGGTGGTGTAATGGATAATGGCTTGAAATTGTTAATCAAAGAGCTAAGTTCCAATTATATTCACTTATGCACAAATACCCTTGGGAAAGGTATGAATTCACCTCTTTCCTCCAGCTATGGGTTAATTAATAAGACTTGTATAACTAAACCATTATTATCTCAAAAAAAATTCTCACAATCGACAAATATTTTCTGGATTTAAATAACCTGCAAAGGGTTGATAAGTTGTAAAAAATCAAATCAATAAATCAATCAATTCATGTGTTAAAGAGCAGTTTTATCATTATTAATTTTTGCCTGGTATTTCTTTCATCTCATTTCTGCTCCTTTTCACCTTCAAGTGTTAAAAACCTGTTTTCCCATTATTAGTTAGGGAAAAAAAATGAAGCTAAGACATTGATTGATTTAGCTCACTCCCAACCATGTTAATCACACACTATCTTTCTCGGCAACCCTTTATTATCAGTGACTTTGCATTTATATATAGCAATGCTCTAACTGCAGTTTTGGGGATTCAAGAGCAAAACTGCTGCTTTTAAAAGCATGTAGACAGTGTTCATGACATAATATATTTTCCAATTTTAAATTTTAAAAAATTGATTTAGATTCAAGAAGCAGAAAAATAGCATAATTTTACTATTCTAAAATTTTTAAATATTATGATCATTCATGTTTATTTTTTTTTTTTTACTAATGTCCACCAAATACAAGGCCCAAGAACCACTCAAGGTAGAGGATTATTGTATGAGCATAAGAGAAAACAGGAAGTGCATTTTATGAGATTATTTTTATGTTTTCTTTTTAATTATTTCACCTCAAGCAAGGCAATAAAGCCACTAAGATGCTAGGGGTTTATTGAATGTGAAAGAATATGAGAACAAGAAAAAGTATGTAGGAAAGATAATGGTTAACCCTAGACTTGAAGAAGTTAAGATCATAGTCATTGGGAAAACATCCTGTTGGGAGTCTGTTCCACAAAGAAGCAGTTCTTGGGAAGATGCTGTTCAATTGGAACTTCTTTCAAAATGGAATAATCTCATAAAATGCACTAATGGGATATGAAGAAAATGAGAATGATTAATCCCTATGTACATAGTGTGATGGGTCCAAGCTGCAAAGGTTAGGACTGGTGAAACTAAAGGAGGTAGCTCATCAGAACACCTGTAATGGGAATAGTAAGCGTAGTGAGAGGCTTATAATATTTTATCTGTGGGAAAGGGGTTGTAGGGTGAAAAAAAAATCACTACTCCCAATTCCTGTGAATACAGAAAAGGTCAAAGCATTATGAATAATCAAGAGTGGTCTCTCCTTGTTTTGTTACTCTCCTCTTTGAGAAAGCTATTTTTGTTTACTGGGACTATAAACATTGTATTCTCAGTTGAATAAATCTTTCTTAAACCCTACACCTGCATACTTTTGTCATTACACAAAGTAAACTATCTGCAACTCACCTGTCAGTAAATGACTGTTCAAAACATAGACAAATATTAACCACATACCTTTGCACTTCTGATGATGGTGATCGTTCTTCTCTTGATCACAGCTGCAATTCTTTTTAAATTGAGGCTGACCTGCACTATTGCTCCTGTGTGGACGCACACCACCGCTGATGTAAGGACAAAATACCTCCTCTTCCACTTCACTGTCGTCGCCTTCTTCCTCTTCCTCTGTTTTCTTTTTTCTTCTTCTGTTGTTGCCCCACAATATCTTATCATCTTTTTCTTCACCCCATGCCTTCTTTGCTTCAGAACCTTTCCAGGTGGAAGCACCAAAATTAGTATCCACACACATAGAGGCAACAGGAGGGGGGCAATCACAATCATCATGATAGCAATGACCAACATCACACATGTCTTTACTACACATTTCATGTTCTTCAGGGTTTTCATCACAGAATGAGACATCAGAATCATTGCTGTCACTATTAGAAACATTGAAGCAGGTTTTCTTAGCTGATGGCATCTTGTTGTAACTTGCCTCCTGAAAAAGAAAATATTCCTTAAAAGATTATCTATTTAGAAAGATATAATATTCTTCAAGATATTGTCTATTTAGAAAGATACAATTTGAAAAAATATACAAAAATATTTACAATATATATATTTATATAATATAAACATACACAAAATATACATATTTAAATCTCTTTCATTATCTATGCTGGGGTATTTTTCCAAAAAATGAAATTAAAATGTAACACATGAACTAGACTTAATTGCATATGTAATGATGTATCATTGTACATTAGAAATGATAATTTTACATTCAACTCTAGACTTTGTTAATGACTGCCAGCTACTGTGTGTATGCAACCCTGGTCTCCATCACCTGGCTTCTCTGAAGTTCATTCTAGTATCGCGCCCAGCCGGAAGTTACTGCCGGCTACTCTAACGTCTGAAAGCGTCACCATGGAAAACAGAACGAATACCGTTAATTTCCGGTAACACAGCATTTTTCAGAGAACGATACACAAAAAGCAAAACAAATGAAACATAAACATACGCAAGTCCTCCTAACTAAAAATGATGACCAGAAACTACTTTATATACACATGGTGTTCAAATGAAACCCATGTGTACAGTCAAAATGCGAAAGGTAATTTTTAGTCATCAACCAAAAGACATTGCCAACCGGCTATGATGCTAACCGCAGCCGACATAAACACAGCCGATTTCTTCCACCAAATAACTCAGCCAACTCGGCTGACTTGGCCCCAGGGTAGGGCGACGTGCTCCCACTCTCACTCTCACCTTCACCTGGCCGACCCTCGAAACTGACCATACAAAGCAGCCAACCTCAACAGCAGCAGCAGTGGGCCGAACCAACTTCATCATCAGCAGCAGCGGGCCAAGCCAACCTCAGCAGCAGACGAACATTATATGTGATAGTCCTTTTAAGGACTACTTAGGCCACATGATATGCGATAGTCCTTTTCAGGACTACCTGGCCACGTTATATACGATAGTCCTTTTCAGGACTACCCTGGCCACATTATATACGATAGTCCTTTTCAGGACTACCCTGGCCACGTTATATACGATAGTCCTTTTCAGGACTACCCTGGGCACGTTATATATTTTATAGTCCTTTCAGGACTACCTGGCCACGTTATATACGATAGTCCTTTTCAGGACTACCCTGGCCACGTTATATACGATAGTCCTTTTCAGGACTACCCTGGCCACGTTATATACGATAGTCCTTTTCAGGACTACCCTGGCCACGTTATATACGATAGTCCTTTTCAGGACTACCCTGGCCACGTTATATACGATAGTCCTTTTCAGGACTACCCTGGCCACGTTATATACGATAGTCCTTTTCAGGACTACCCTGGCCACATGATATGCGATAGTCCTTTTTAGGACTACCTGGCCATGTTATATGCGACAGTCCTTTTCAGGACTACGCTGGCCACATGATATACGATAGTCCTTTTCAGGACTACCTGGCCACGTTATATGTGACAGTCCTTTTCAGGATTACGCTGGCCACATGATATGCAATAGTCCTTTTCAGGACTACCTGGCCATGTTATATGTGACAGTCCTTTTCAGGACTACCCTGGCCACATGATATGTGATAGTCCTTTTTAAGGACTACCCTGGCCACATGATATGCGATGGTTCTTTTAGGGACTACTTGGCTATGTTATATGCGATAATCCTTTTAAGGACTACCTAGCCACATTATATGCCATAGTCCTTTTAAGGACTAACTAACCATCTTACATGCGATAATCCTTTTAAGGACTACGAAGCTGCATTCTTACACGACTGTCATTCTAAGGATGAACAGGCTACCCGAGCACTGTCTACGCTGATCCTCTCTCTTCAAAAACACAGACATGTTTCTTTACAAAGGGCGAACATCCGGAGATCGACTGGACCTCGAATACCGCTGACCCATCTGCCTGCCTCCGAGATGCCACCTTGAACCCGATGATCTTTTGATTGGGACTCCCTGAATTCACGATCGAACTACAAACAATTCCTATACATACATTTGTCCAGATCAACAAATAAATCCGATGTTTGTTATTCTATACCTCTGCCTTTGTTCCTCATTGTCTTAGCTGTTCACACCTTTCTTCGTAAAAGCTTGCGGGGATGACATCCTGATCGGCCCCGCAACACTAGCATGATCTAGGGTGAGATACATATGACACATGCCCCACTTGGGTGTTAGGAATCAATACTGTTCTGTACCAAACATGGTTCTGAATTGATAGATTGGATTACTTTTTCTCACATTTGCCAGCACTATGGTGGTTTTTTGCAATGATTGATAAAAAAATAACAGTGTGTGTGCAGTTTTGCATTCTTTGAGGATATTTGCAGCTGAAACTGTTGTAACATTTCAATGAGCTTTTAAAGAAGTTCTAGGTAAATCATGAATGGAAGAATAGCCTTTGTATTCCACGTGTGATGAAACATCATTTGAAGGCCAACTATGATCTGGCCAAACTTCAATCAATAAAGTTTTTTTGTCAGACCATTGATGAGATATTTAAAGTGACTGGTTTGTCTTGGAGTTTATGGTGGGTTATGATGTTGCCAGTTATGTATGAGTTATCTTAAGACAACATCTGTTCTCACCATATATCAGTATAATTAATTTGGGTGTATAGTGGCCTTGTGAAATGATTAAATGAGAATGCACAGTGTTGCTATATACTTGATATTTTTTATATAACACAATTTAATAATACAGAAGGATAAGGTGAAAATTGAAATTTCAAGTGTTCAAGTGTAAAAGTCCTGGCACATGAGAGAGAGAGAGAATCCAGGAGGAAGTAAATATATATGTATGTATGTGTGTGTGTGTATATATATATATATGTGTGTGTGTGTGTGTGTGTGTGTAAGTATGTATGTATGTACCCAAATGTAGTAGTTGCTGCTTGACCATATGGTGAAGGAAGGTATGTTTGTTTTCAATGTAGCAAAGATGGTTTAGCTGGCTAAGGTTGCTGCCTAGTTGTGCAAATGTTATATTTCATCTCTGGTCTGTTACAATAACTACAGTATTAGAGAATGAGAAAAATTAACTTATCGACTTCAGTTTTGGTTGATTTTCCATCTGTTTACATCCATAACTATAGATGCAATTTGAAAAAGCCACTTGCTTTTCATTGGATTGTAGCCTTATATTCTGGTTATGAAAGCTTTCTGGTTGGTTAGTCAAACTGTTTTTAGAAATGGTGAAATTTTGATTTATTTCTCTATCACCACAAATTCATACCAGTGAATGAGTTTTCATATCAGAAGATTTGAAAAGGAAATGCATTTCCACAATGATAAATGACAAGTTCCCCAAAACCAAGGAATATGTGGTAAGTACAATCCAATATCAAGACAATGTTGATTTCATGCAAATAAATTTGTTTCTTTTGGATAGATGCTGAGTTAGTACTTTTATATGAAAATATTATGAAAGAATGTTTCGGAAAAGTCATAATAAATGTGAAGTGGCAGTGAGTGGATCTTTCTGTGTGACAATGTCCTAGCCCACACAGTCCTGAACATCTGTAAGGTTTTGGCTAAAAACAGCTTAACAGTTGTTTCTTTTCCATCTTATTCACCTGAACTTGCTGTGTGTGACAATTTTGATCCTGTGTATGAAACATGATCTGAAAGGGAAATTTTTAATGACATAAGCAATGTGAAACAAAAGAGCAATTTGAAACCTTGGACAAAAATCAGAATGAAAAGTTTCCAGAATGTTTCCAACCATGGAAAAAAAACATTCAGACAAATGCACTGTGTCAAGTGGAAAGTATTTTTAAAAAGAGTAGAATTTCAAGTTGTAAAACCTAATAAAACATGTTTCAAAATAATTCTTGTCATTTGTGGTTACCACCTTGTGTGTGTGTGTACACATGCTATGATGATGAAATAGATTTTAGTGTCCAAAAGACATTTCAACACATGAACACCTAGATTTAAGCAAATTTTATTGATAGCAGACTATTCTCCTTCAATGCAAGAGGCCTCCAAGGTTGTAATTATTTTTTTACAATAGGAGTGGCAGAGAACTGTTTGTTTTTTTTAATAAATCAAACAGAAAACAGAATTGCTGTGGATTGGTACTATACACTCGCATACTGTACTGATATGTCCCGGAAAGTGATATATTTGTTCGAAGTAGCAAAGTGGTTGTTCACTACTGTAACCGGGTAGGACAATCTAGCAGGTAACTGTAATGGACTGGTCCTCGTCGTAGTGGTAGGCAATAGGCATAGGCAATAGGCATAGCCTATAGGCGCCGTCCCTGTACCTCCACATCAGTCCGTATTTATGGCTGACACCAGCCAATCATATTACTGTGAGGAGGAATCCAGGTGTATGCATATTCATTACATCATGTACTTTGCTCAGAGAGATGCCAGATCAATCGACCCAAATGAAATAAATGTGGCATAAGCAATAATATTACAAACATATATACATATACAAACTTGACTGGAATTCAAAATCACTTTGCAGATTAAAGAAAATATGGCCTCTGGCAGGATTCAAACCAGTGTCCCCTTTGCTGGAGAAACCACCATCTGATTCAATATGCTTTAACATGGGTTTAAATCATACCAGAGGGCATATTTTCTTTAATAAGTTTTCTTGAGTGTGCAGACCAGTAGACAAAATAAATACTGTTTAAAATAAAAAGGAGAGTCTACTCAAATACAAATATCCACTAAAAATAATGTTCGAAGTAATAAGAATATGCCAGATTAATATATATATATATATATATATATATATATATATATAGAGAGAGAGAGAGAGAGAGAGATAGATAGATATCCTAAAACCATTTTGCTTTTGTAATAAAAAGGAATCATCCTGGTTAAAAGGTGGGGAGAAGCATGAGAGAATTCATTTGTGCTGGACAAATTTAACAGACATTGTAGATAATTTTTTTTTGCTGATGCTTTGTAAAATAAATATTGCTCAGTTTTCAGACATATTGAAGAAACATCAGTCACACAACATCAAGTTCCTTTGATCTGAATACAATGGCAGCATTCCAGACACATTATCTTGCTACTTATAAAAATTCTAGGAACAAAGTTACCCCAGCTGGTGATTGGCCAAGAAAACGATTTCTGTTAGCTGTACAAGTCTAAGATTGTTGGGTAGATTTTACAGACAAGGACAATTTATTTTTATTTTATTACTGGAGTATCATATTTTTCCCAAATCGTCCTTGGTGTTGAAAATAAAACCTTGGAATAACATCCTGAGTAAGTAGGACAAAAATCAATTTTAATTAGGATAAAAGAAATACAAGATAAAATTTAATAATAATTGATAATGTATCATAATATGCTTTTCTGCTAGCACAGCTAGCCAATCCCTGTTGCCTGATCAAGTATGTTTTTGTTCAATACCCAGAGAGCCCCCCTGTGGTTTATACTGCAACTATCCTGAGCAGACTTTAGTTACGGTTTTTGGAGAGAGCTCATTATTTGGCGTGATCAACAGTCCAGTACACTCAAACCCTTGGTCATGATGACTTGTGACTTTTCTGCTAGTACAACCATTGACAGCTCCCAAATAGTTCTCTCTACTAAATTTCACCTACAAAGTTTGGGTCAATCCATGGTATGCTTTTCAGGCACTTTCTAGAGTTGCTGCATACTGGGATTACCTCCCCAGGGTGATAACATCAAGAAGTCACTTTCCTGACAAATCGACCATGGTGAGATTCAAAGCCATGTCTTATGGTTAGAAAACGAACATTCTAACCACTCAGCCACATGCCCAGATAATGTATCACCTAATAATAAAAACTCACAAACTATCCTTTTGTATTATAGCCAGAATCTATTTTAGTCATCAACATTGGCTATTCTCTTTAGTAAGGCATGTACATGGCTTTAAAGTCCAATCTTTGAAAGGCATGTTCTTCCATGCACAGCTCATTGTAATTACCTAGTGATGTTCAGGTTGAATCATTCTTATTGTCACTGCTTGCATGTTTCTTGCATTTTCTTGCATTTCTTTATTTGGTTTCAAGCATTTCATTCCACAGTGGCAAATTCATCTCTATGTTGGTGGATTGCATGCAAATATTTCCCAATTGAACAGTTGAATCTCAATTTTCTGAAGTGTAGTCTGAAGTAGGTCCTTGTATCTTTTTTATTTGATTACACTTTGCTCTTGTTCTTTCTAAGAATGCAGGATTTGCTTCAGGATTATTTCATTCTTCATTTGGAAAACATGTCCATTAAAGGTGGTTATGCTTGATGGTAGTTCCAATAATCACATGATTTGTGCATCCAAAGTCTTCTATACTAATGACTGTTATATAATTTTAGTATTTCAATAGTAACCCTCCATTATTTATAATATAAACATGTTTCCTACAGATTCTTAATTTTGAAATTATGTCACTCTATGAGTGCTGTTGGTAACAATACTACTTGCCACATACATGGTCAGGTCATTGGCAATTAAACCTGTTTCCCCACCAATATTTCTGATTAGGAGGGTGGCTAGACACCCAGCAGGATTAAACACAAGATCTATCAAATGGCTGATGAACATTCTTGTAGGGATTAACAACCATCTGGACTCCATAACTCTGTTTGCAGCCAGTATGGTGATTGTTAGGTGGAGGTCAACCTAGACTGAAGCCAACAGCCAGGAGAGTTCTGATGGAATCAACAGCCACTTGTTTGTAACCAAGGCAAGCCTTCAAGTTGGAAGACATTGGCTGAGGTTTGACCTGGAGAGGACTCTGCCAGGTCTACTTACCCAAGACAAGCTACACATGAATAAGTATCTTCCAAGCTTTCAACCCAGGTATATGGAGGGAACTGGCCAGGTGTTCCATTGTGCAGTGATCCTATGACCACACCTGGTCATAGGATTGATGATGATTATGATGATGATGATGGTGATGATGATGATTTTTAAAAGTTAGCACCCCCCAACACCAACCAAAACATGAACTATAATACATACCTCTGGTTGTTTTGAAAGCAACTCTGACACGTTCACATTTTTAAGCACCTTTTCTACATTCTGGTTGAATGCTGCTCTTATCTCAGACAACATTGAATCAACCTAAATAAAGAATTTAAATAATTGTTATACTTGCAGAATGTTTACTTGCAAAATAATATATCAGGTCTTTTATTTATGCTGATATATTCCAACTATTGTTCTGATCTTTATTATAGATATTATTGTAGAAACAATGTTTCGGTAATATACCCTCCCGGCCATCTTCAGGTGTACATTTTTAGCTTTTTATAGAAGTATCTGTTGATTCTTGTGTTATTTTGTCCCTGTGATGCTGTTTCTTTTTTTTTTTATCCCTTCTGAATCAGATTATATTTCTCTACCTGATCCAGAGATTGAACACACAACTAACCATTAGGTGACTGTGACTTAGTGGTCATGATTTCTGTCCCTGCATCAGGTAATGAAATTTATATATTCTGATGTAGATAGAATGAATAGGAATCAGCATCAAAAGGACAAAATAACACAATAATCAATTTATAAGATGCCTCCTGTCAGAAACTAAAAATATCACCTGAAGATGGCCAGTGAGTGCATGGTCTAAATAGTGTTTCTACAGCAAAATCTATAACAAAGCTGAGAGCAATAGCTTATATAAATCAATTTATAATAAAGCAGGTATTTACTACATTAAAAAATATTAAAAAGCACCAAATGGCTGGTCCTTGTCAAAGGTGACTACAGGTGTAACAATTTTCAGCTGCTGATCGGATCCATTAGGTCGTCATGTGGGAATGGTTAGCCAAGTGCTGAAAGATCCATTTTCTTCTGCCAACCATCATGGAATGCCAATGACAAGATATTTTTTTAAATCATTCCACCCCAAGCAAGGCAATAATGCCACTAAGATGCAAGGGGTTACTGAGAGTGAAAAAGAATGAGAAGACTTTAGTGAAAAGAAAGGACAATAAAAGAACAGGATTTAAGAAGACAGAAGATGGCAATTGATGTTGCATTTAAATTTTTACAGATTGTAGGTGGCAGGGAAAACAAGAAATCAGAAGGGAGTTCCACAGATGAGAAGTGCAGGAAAAGAAACTTTAAAATAGAATATATGGTTGCATCTAGCTAGTTCAACAGTAAAACAGTGAAACCTAGATACCAATTGAGTAGCAGACTTAAATTCATGCAGTTGAGGCAACAAGAAGGAAAGCTCATTAGAACAATTACCATCAAAATATTTGTAGAAAAGACAGAGGGAATCTATGTCACATCAGTGAGAAAGTGGCTGAAATTGAGATGCCAGGTCAGGATTGATTACATTACTATTGTAATTTTGGCTAATCCTCATTGCCAAAATGTTGTAACCTAGGGAAGGTTACTGAATAGAATAATCAAATGAAGGTTGATAATGAATGATAATACTTAGAACAAGAACAACACATGTAAGATTCACCAGCGTCGCGTAGAAGTAGTAGTCAACTGCTAGAAGTGAGTCAAGTGAATTCCACAATGAATCTCCACCTGCAAGATATCTACCAACCACTCCACATGGTCAGATGTGGCACAAGGCCGAATTTAATATGGGGTATCTGAGCCCATAGGCTTGGCCAAAAATTTCCCGTAGACACTGTATAAAATGAGGTCAGGTAGCTATTTCCCGAGATGAGACTTTGCCCTTTGACATAGCCTCGTCTGGGGTTCCTCTTTGCCCAGAGGCAGAGAGTTTGACTAGTGCAGCTGGAGACAAATCTCCAACTGCAGACCAACATACAGTATTTATTTGAATGGGGACATACCCATTATTGTCAATAGGTATGCTACAACAATTACAGACCCTTCTTTGAATTTTGTCAAGAATCAGTTTATCTGGTAATATGACAGATAACTGGGAAATTTGGATTCATAAATAGAATTAACGTAAAAAAAAATCCTTAGCTAGAATTTGAACCCAGTTGCCAATTCTCTTTTCTATAGTGCCCTAAACTACATTAAAAATAAGCACACATTCCCACTCTGTACCAATGATTTCCTGGTAACTGATGGTTCAGTGCCTCTTTTAATCTGGACAGGATTACTAGTAAGTTTTTGAATTTCATGCAATTGCCAGACTAATTCACCAGGTAGATACAGGTGGTGTTGTGTGTGTCGCAATTTTAATAAAAGTTTCTAACAATCACTGATGCTATAGGGATATGAAATCTGCAAAAGTAGTGAGTTGGGGGTGTATGATTGAATTTTTGTTACATGACTTCTTTTGGTCTGGCAAAATGGATAATCCGGCATGATTCTGGAACCAAGGCTACCAGAAAATCAATAGTGTACCTGTATCTACTGATAGAGTTATCTCTAAGTATTAAGCAGGCACAAAGGAAATAGTATTTGTAGATATTTACTAAGCTTAGCTTGGTCTGGCACAAGGCCACAATAACAGAGCCCCCAAAAACCATACTCACTACACTGATAATAGATTACAAGATTAGCCTATTAACTCTCATTCTTTGTCATGTACCCCAAAATTAACATTTGTACCGACAAGCCTGAGGTTAGACATTAATACATGTTGCCAGGTAACATTTGAATAGCCCACCTAGAAAAACTTCTGATATGCAAATTAAGTAGACAAGTATAAATAGAGAACAACTGGCAAACATAGGGTGGCTATGCCTAGCAAACCCGGTTGCTATTCGGGACATGGAGAACTGTACTACAGCTACTACTATGCAGAGAGATATGCAAAACATAACAGTGGATATTCCCAAATCCCCTTAGGTAATTTTGCTAAAGCAGTTTGTTGACACCTTACTATCTAGCAATAGTTAGTATTATACATAATTACTACTGTACAGTCCTCATCTCATTCTCCAGTGGCCTTGTACCAGACTAATGTAAGCTTAGTAAAACCCAATTAAAACAGCTGAATAAATATAAAAAAGAGAAACTCTATAAAAAATTTAAAAGAAGAAATGTTTTTGCTTTAATTAGTTGTCTTAATGAAATCCTAAATAACATTGCATTTGCCTTTTAAAAATATACAAAATGTTAATAAAACCAAAGTACAGTATATTTATTTCTCTTTTATTTTTGTTGCAGGTTATAGCCATATCAGACTGAAGCACTGGTTCTCATATGATTGCCAAAGTTAAGCAACGTCAATCCTGGTCAATAACTTGATGAGTGACTGCTTGATAATACCAGGTGCTGTAAGCTTGAATGTGTGGGTGGTGTAATGGATAATTGCTCAGAATTGGAAATCAGAGAGCCATGTTCCAATTCCAGTCAGGATTATTATATTGACTAATGCACAAATACTCTTGGGAAAGGTATGAATTCACCACATCTCCCTTCAGCTATGGGTTAATTAGTAGGACTTGCATCAATAAATCATTCTCTCTCCCAAAAAATTGTAATATCTAAAAATAATTTTTGGCTTTAAATAATCTGCAAAAAGTTGATAAGCCATAAAAATCAAATCAATCAATCAATACTTTTCTTGTTAAAGAAGAGATGAAATTTTTTTTCATTTAAATCAGGAATTAACATTCATAGTTTATTCAATCTCATAAGGTTTCAACAAATGTCAGATGATTAGAAGACAGCAATTTCTTTTTTGCTTTTAATTTTATATTCTCACCATCAATGGATGTATGGGTAGCATAGCAGTTATCAATACAGATAATAGAATCGGTAAGTCAGGTTCAAATTACAGCCTAGCCTGCTGCAATCATTTTTTCACTAATGCCCTTGGGAAAGACATGAATCTATCTCCTAGCTTTGGGTTAAATAGCAGGGCAGACTGAGCTCTCTAGCCTTGGGTGTCATCTAGTCTAGGAGAAAGACTACTTTGAATTCAAAACCTATGGATAAGGCAATGGAGAACCACTTTCCACAAATGCATGGCAATTTACAGATAATCTATTTTTATTTTAATCCTCTCAAATTTACAGATCATTTTCTTAATATTGTTATTAAATTCATTAAGAAAGATGGCCTAGTTTTTTTCCTTTCTTTTATTTTCCCAAGTACTTTCAAATGAAAAAAACTACAGCGCTTTCCTTAATGAATTTAATAACATTAAGAAATTGATCCATAAATTTGAGAGGATTAAAATAAAAATAAATAGACATAATATGTCCAGATTATTCAACCAAACATGCTTGAATAAAGATATGCTGCCTAAATATACATACATATACATTACTTGCATTATTTACATTATTTGGACTGTTATCCTCATCTTCACTGCCATATTCACAACATTTCGGCCATTATACACTCTGGCCTTCGTAGGTGATTGGAATTTCAAACTGAGCCCTTTATTTCATTCACCAGGGTAGATTGTTCTAGTTCCATGTGCCATGCCACTTCTGGATGTCTCAGTTATCTTCCTTAAATTCAACTCTCCAAGTTTTTGGTTCACCACTGTTGTGACCTGATATTGAACTCACAACTCTTTGGGTCTAGCCACTGAATCTAAACCTTTAACACCATGTGTCCTTCAGGACAGCTGTGTATGAAATTTTGGGATTTATAAACCTAATGTATCAGCAACCTTTTTTTAACAGTGCTCATATTGCAATTTTTTTCTGTTATTATTATGCATTTTTTACCAGAGCTTATATTGCAATTTTTGTTGTTATCTATTGCTTTTCGCTAGCACTCTTTATTACTGGTTCCCATATTGTATTCATTTCTATGCTTGGTCAGCTCAGGAATTTTTTGTAGCTTAGCATATGTGCTGATTCTTTAAGTTTTAATATTTTCCAGTGATGCTCTGTATTATTTCAACCTCATCCCACAGGGGGTGGTGATCTCCTTTTTCCCTTCATATGGGGTCAGCTATGACTGATTTTTCTATTTCCTCTCATGTTACCACTTTATAATGTTCTTATAATCTTGCCTTAAGGGGGCAGCCGCTTTCTCCTTTGTATTTCTTACCACTGCTGCACAGGATGGCGTACACACAGTCTTTAGTCATGTTCTCCTCTAGGGGGAGGAGGGTCTTACTCAGAAGAGGTGTCTGTGAAGTGATGAACTACTTTTGAAGGTTGTTGGACCACAGATCTTTTGTAATTTTTTCTGATAATCCCTTCACATAGGGTAGGCAGACTGAAGCTGTTTTCTGAGTGATGTTATCCTCCTCCTATATCCTTCTATCCCAGTTTGTTGGAGCTGCTGCCATGTACCCAGGGTAGTTGTTACATTGTAGAGTACTGCTTATACTGACCATTTCTTGTTCGTATGTTTCTGGGTCACTACTTATAACTTTTGCGTGATGTTGTAAGCAGCAGACAATCCCTTTCTTTACACTGTATAGATGGTGGGAGTTGAAGTTGAGGTATTGTCTGGTGAATGTTGACTTACAGTATATAGATATCTTGAACACCTAGCTCTTTTCAAGACATTAGTACATCTAGGAAGGTGAGTTTGTTGTTGTTTTCTCAGTCCATTGTGAACTTTATCGATGATCTTATTGAGTTTACATGGTCCAGTAGAAGCTGGACGTCTTCCTGGTGCGACTAGAGAATGAAGGTGTCAGCTACGTATCTCAGCTATAGGGTTGGCTTTAGTGGTGTTGGTTCTAATGCCATTTCCTCAAAGTATTCCATATATAGGTTTGCTATTGCTGGTTATAATGGCGAGCCCATTGCTAAGCTCTCATCCTATCAATATATGTCTGATCCCATTCCAAAGTATGCTGTGTGCATACAGAAAATCAGCATCTCCCTCGGGTTATCTATTGGTATACTGGTCTGTTCTCCAAGGGAGGAGTTCAAGGCCTGTCTGTCCCTGACTACTGAGAGTGCCTCCTCTGTGGGTACTTTGGTACCACATCCAGACTCACCTTTGATTATTTCCACAAAGTGGGCAAAGTTCTGGACATATAATGGTGACTTTCCGATTAATGGGATGATTATATCTACAAGGATGTGACTCAGAGGGTGGCACACAAAGCCTCAGCAGCTAACAATTGGACTGAGCAGAATACCATCTTTGTGAATCTTTGGGAGACCGTATATGTGAGGTAGCTTGGTGTAACGCTGTGACAACTGCCTGTATGTCTTAAGTGTGAAGTGGTCCTTGTTCTTGATTAAGATCTGTGACAATTTGCATTCTGTTTTCATTGTAGGAAATTTCTTTACTTTACTGTAGCTACCTTTCGCAATGACATCTTCCAGTTTTTCTGTATATTCCGATTTGTCCATTACTACAGTTGCATTGCCTTTGTCAGCTTGTAGTATGATGATGCTTTCATTCCTCTGTCAGGTTCTGATTGCCAGCCCCTCCAGTTTTGTGATGTTTGATTTGGGTGGCTTAGCTTTCTCCAGTGTCTGTCTCACTTTCCATCAGTTCATCTGCCTGAGCCTGAGGGAAGTTCAAGGGTATTTCCTCGATTCGAGCAATGATGTCTGTTGAGATGTTGAGTGTTTCCGCATGCGAGTATTGAAATAAGGACAAACACATACATATGGAAAAATACTGGTATATCTGAAGAGGTATTTACAACAGAGAGATTAGTAGTCAAACGAAGGCATTTTACTCAGTAACAATCAGAAAGAGTATAAAGTCCAACTGTATCTTCTGGTAGAGAGACGGAAGTGTGATGGTCACCTGATCTCCCAGAACTCTATAGAACTGTCCTATTAGTAGTAAAGAGATCAGTCCATTCTGATGAGAAGGTGGGTGTGCCCCAACAATGTCCAAGTATGGCATCTGCCTGATGGTTGTGGTGAAGTTGAAACACTTGTTTAGCATTGATCCCTCAGAGGTACTCAGCTGGTATTGACGGATGTTAATTACTGCCTTTACTGGTTGGTGATGGATGTTGTGTGTCACCTTTTGATCTTTCAATCTACTTAATTTTTGTACTTGACAGGCTTTGACTGCATGGAATTCATGGCTGGAGAGTTGAGTTAAAGTGAAATAATTGAAACATCCATAAGAGGCAAGGTACTGCAATTAAGCTTTTTATTTATTTTTTCTTGTGTTCATTTAAATATTTTCTTTTCTGGATATAAAGTGTGTAAATATGTAAATGTATAAGTTGACATATTACTACATGTCTATCAAGAAGTCCCACATTATATCTCTTTGACCATAGCTCAATTAAGACTCATTTAAGCACACATAGAAACCTACCAAACTCCATCCACAACATGCTTGTAGAAAATACAAGTATAATAGCTTCATCTATATGTAAAAAAAGACTAAAAATAATGGAAGCACTAATAACAAAAAAGAAAAAAAACAACACACAATAACATCAGCTATGAACATGACCACAATATGCTGACTGTATTTTGAAAATAATAAAACATTCCTATCATTCTAGGTACATATAAAAAGATCTACATATTTGGTTAAACATTTTAAAAAACATCCTTGATAATGACTAATTGAATAGCCAAAAGCCCTCGAATATCCAGAACATTTGGACAAATTTTTACACACTCTATGTCCAGAAAAGAAAACACTTATACGAACACAAGAAAATTAAATAAAAAGCTTCAAGGCAGTACCTTGTCAGTCCTCTTTAATGAAACTTGTATAAAAGATGGATTGCTGCCCAAATACACATTTATATATATATATATATATATATATATATATATATATATATATATATATATATATATTCCTGTATTCCCTGTTTGTTGGAGTTACTTTCAAGTCACTTAAAGGTGATGTGATTTACAACAGACAAACTGAATTTTTACATATTTTTTACTAAACATTCTAGTAGACACTAATAATGAAGATTTGGTAAACTTGAAACTTTGTACCCACAAAAAAATAGAGTGTCAAAAGGATAGATTTTCCATTGACACCACTATTATTTAACTACCTTCACTTCTCAACAATGTTTATTGCTTTAAAAAACAAGGATTAGAATTGTAATAAAACCTAAACATATGATGAAAGTGAATTTATACATTTTTTTGTTTTTGAGAATTTACAACAAAACTATTAAAAACTATTTATTCCTTAGCTTGTTCATTTACAAGAATACTTTTATATTTATAACATTCTAAAAACTAATACAATTAAAACTAATGCAATGCAATATTTATCATCTACCAATTTATAAAAAAATAAATCTGAAAACAATTTGTTATTCATAAATATATAAACATTTGCTAAATTATTCAAATATGTGAACCAACTATAAGGAAATCCTTATTATTTACCATTTTATAAAGTCCAAATCAATTGACAATTAGCTGATGTTTTGCCAGCCATTCCATAAACAATATCCTTCCTATAATAATTGTGCTTGCCCTGACCTTCCCTTTGTTAGCATGACCGTTACATTCTGCCGAGACCTTGTAAATAATGGACTCTTCTGTTTTGACTGTGTGGAAAGAGGGGAAAAAACACTACTTGATGAATGAAAGAAAGAAAGAAAGAAAGAAAGAAAGAAGGGAAGACAGAAGTGTTTAACATCTGTTTCAGTAAAATGGAAATAGTTGTCAATTTCAAATGTTTACATTTGTTCCCACTTACTAAAATAATAATAGCATTCGTATTTATGATTGCAATATTTTGTTAAAGTTGTTAAGCTCAAATATTTAACAATGTGATAGGGGAATTTCTAAAGATTGCCGTAAAACTCACAATGAGCTTACTCAATCATTAACTTTAGAATTAAGATCCATCAGAATATCAAAATAAGAAAACTGTGAAATTTTCATGAGTTAAAACTAGTAATAAATAAATAGCATAAATAAGCAATCTAGTAAATAAATAGTGTTTATTATTTTTTTATGTCAATTCTCAAGTACAGAGAAAATGTATAAGTTCACTTTCATATGTTTACAATTCTAATCATCGCTTTTTCAAACATTAAAAATTGCCAATAGGTGAAGGTAGTTAAATTACTAGTGGTGTCAATGTAAAAAAAACGTCCTTTTGATACTATTTTTTGTGGACACAAAGGTTCAAATTTGTCAAAGATTTTATTACTTTAATATATAAAAACTCACAAGTAAAAATTCATGTCCTAGATTGTATATTGAAGTGTGTATAAAAAAAATCACATAAAAATTCAGTTTAACTATTGTAAATGATTTCACCTTTAAGTGACTTGAAATTGGTTCCAGCAAACAAATGAAGGCTGGAATTAGCCAAACAATGTTTTGCAACTCAACATATATATGAGATTGTTAAGCACATGGCCAAGTGATTAGAACATTTGCTTTCTAATCATAAGAAACAATGATCAAACTGATTTCTTGATCTTATCAGTCTGGGGAGGTGAGTCGACTATGCTACACTTTAGAAAAGTACCTGAAAACCAGGAGACAGGTTAACCCAAGCCTTGAGAGTGAAACTGGGCAGACAGAAATGTTCAGAAGTTATAGATGGTTGCACTAGCATGAAGTCACAAATCATCATGACTGAGCTTTTGAGCGTACTGGTGTTGTTCAAGCTGCTGATCATGACAGATTATGCGCTCTCTCCCAGGAACTGTAACTACTCATAGTTGCAGTATAAATCACAGGTGGAATCTGTGGGTGTTAAACAAAAACAAATGTGCCTGAGCAGGCGGCTGCAACAGGGATTGACTAGTCGCCTCTAGCAGACAGATGTGCTTGGAAAACGATAGTAGCTGGCCATTATATATGGGATTAATGGGAAAGGACATAAAATTTTATTACTCTTCAGTGAAGAGTAAAAGATATCTGATTGAGAAGTGTTCTATTTTTAGCCACCTGCTATGATCATCCACAACCAGCAATCAAAGGTCAATACGTCATCGTTGCCTCAAAGCAAGTGGATGTCAACTGATATCTCAACTGACTACTAAGAGTGTATGCTGGCCAGCTAGCATAGCAATAACTGACTGGACAATTACAAGTTCCCAGATTACCTTCATTAAGCATAAGTCACAGGGCACATCAAAGCCAAGCAATAGTGACTGACCTACCATTGAGTCGGTGTCGATACCCAAATCAGCACCATTACTGTCAAGAAGTTTGGCTGCCTGGGAAACCAGATCTGTAGAAAAACAAGAATGATTCCTAAGTTTAGTTTCAAAACACGAAAGAAGTCAGAGTTGTTATTTGGAGTTGAGCAGATTTTGATTCTCTTTAAATTCAATTTCATCAACTGTTGTATATAAAACTGAAGTTGTTTTGAGCTATTTGCTCAAGGAGTTGCTTTGTTAAACTGTCATGTCAATCTAAATCTGTTTCTATTAACTTTTTTCTCTAATTTTCTTTATTATTTTTATCACAACATTCCGGGTTGAATATTCTTTGACCAAGAAAGTAAGTTATATGAAACTAAAATAAAGAATAGTTTTGTTTCCAACAAAATTTCAATACACATCTATTCTTGAGGACTCATTTTTTTCATGGAAAACACAACCAATTCTGCCATCAAAGTCTACAATAAGGAAAGTATTTCATTTTCTTTCATTGCTCAAGAGTTATTGGCTCAACATGGTTATCTCTGGTGAAACACTATGACATTAAAGTAAGAGACTTTTTCTTTCCTTCATCAATATTTCTCTTTGCTTATTATTTTCAGTATGTGATAACCTATGTGGCAACATTGACAACTTAGTTCTAATAACTTTTACTAAGACTTTGAATCAGATTTGTATATTTTTGTATGTTTCTATATAAATGTTGTATTGAAAACTTAACCTAAAGCTCTCTTGTTTTTAGTACTATTCTATTTTAGTGTTAGTTCAGACAAACAACTTCTAATGCTAGTTTGATTAGTATTAGTAGCCATAATTGTTGGCTGGGCTATTTCTTTTTCCTCACCAATCCTTACAATAAGAATTACTGCACAGTATCTTATCATTTTTTTTCCTATCTCTGAAAGTTTGTAACTTGGGAAACACCTGTGTATGTATTTGTGATTGTGTTTTATTGCTGAATAATTAAAACTGTAACTTGCATTGTGGGTAAGTAGACTGGGGCACTGAGGTGAGGGAGGTTAGAGACTAATTTCTGATTATAGTGTTAGAATGCAAAAATAATTATCTGCCCTTACATATGATTTATGCAGAGGTCAGAGGTTAATAATAAAATAAAGCCAACCAGCACAGCCTTGATAGATGCCTTTTTTCCTCATTTCTCATGGTTTGAGAGATAGTGGCTCAACATGGTTATTCCTGGTTAAATACTGTGACACTTGAGTAAGAGGCTTATTCATTTCTCTATCAGCATTTCCTCTTGCTAATTACTCTTACTGTTCATTAAATTTTCCTCTCCTGATATTAGCAGCTAGCAAAAGGGGTAGTAAGTGACAAGTGATAAACATCTGACTATATTTCTGAGATGAGGTATTGTTACTATTTACAATGTTGTCCTCATCTTTATGGTCATATTCACAATGTTTCAGCCATTGTGTGCTCTGACCTTCTTCAGGATCTGTCTATATTTCTAAGATGAGGTATTGTAACTATTTACACTATTGTCCTCATCTTTATAGTCATATTCACAATGTTTCAGCCATTGTGTGCTCTGGCCTTCTTCAGGATCTGTCTATATTTCTAAGATGAGGTATTGTAACTATTTACACTGTTGTCCTCATCTTTATGGTCATATTCATTACATTTTGGCCATTGTTCTTCAGGTGGTATATGTTGGAATTTCGAACCAAACTTTTTATTTAGTTCTAGTTCCACATACCATGCCTTTTTTGGATATCTCAGTTTCAGTTACTTCCCTTTAGTAACTTGACTCTCCACTGGATCATGTACCCCCATGGACCAACCCACCCAAATTTAAGTTATGTTTGTTTTTGAAAAGAAAAAAAGAACTTTAGTTAAATAAAAATTATGAGAGACAGACATGAGTTATGGGCAACATTAGTTGTTATGAATATTTGCTTTACGAATTTAACTGTATTTTATTTAAATTAATTTGTCATGTCCACTAAAATATCTAATGAAATATTTCATCAAAATATTGAGTGAATGTAGTAGAAGACATACCATGTGGCTTTTTAGGGTCAATTAGGAAGAAATAAATAAATATAATTCTGGATCTGATGTTCTTACAAAAAAGTGTATAAAATTCACAAAATCTGGCCCCAAACATGAGATGCACAGAAGTAACCAAGGTCCACGTCACTCTAGCTGCTTATCTTCAAGACCCCATTCATATCCACATGCAAAAAGCTACTGCACTGACAAACTACAAAGAGACCGCTTCAGACAATGGCAACACAGTTCACAGTGACAAATAAATTCTAACTATCTCCTGTATGCCCCATTACTGCTAAGCATGCACACACATACTGATTCTTTCACACAAACACACATATAACAACATTTCACTCTTTCTCACATATGTACATAAACTGTTTATTTGTTGATACTACGTTGTTTTTTCTACTGGATTTTATTCTTTCAATGAGAATCATAGGATTATTCTAAAGAGCCGAATTATGAGCAGTCCCACAACAATATTTTATGCTATTGTATTGAATTCCGACACTCTGAATTTTGACATTAAAAACACCCGAGAAGAAAGATTCCTACAAATTTTCAAAAAACTAAGATTCCCTATAGTTTTTGCAATTTAGATGAAAATTAATCCATCTTTATATACTTTGAAATTACTACATGATTTTAATACAATTTTGTATTCTTTAATTTTGCAAGAATTAATGTAATTTCCTTTAAATAATTTCAATGAACTATTTTACACTAATATAAATTATTATATTAACCTTTTGCTATAATATAAATATTTACACTAATATAAATTTTACACTAACCTTTTACACTTATATAAATTTGATACTAATCTGTTATACTAATATAAGTTTTTACATTAACCTTTTGAACTATTATAAATTTTTATATTAACTTTTTGCACTAATATAAATATTTACACCAACCTTTCAAGTTGACATTTGTATTAGAATCTTCAAAAGTGGTTGACTCTTCTGATTTTTCTCCAGAAGTCATTTCAGTTCCAATAGCTTTGCTATTTTCAGTTTGTTCTGGTGCCATACTTGTTTGTGTCTGACTGTGTCTTTTCACCGAGGCATCACTGGATTTCTCTTTGAGAGAAGATTTTTTTAATCCTTGATCCAAGCAAGCAGTAAAATGGCTGCCCTATGAAAACATTACAAAAAAGAATATAGCCCAAAGTTGACAATCATGTGCAATACAATTTACAATATTGTCCTCTGATATTGTGGTTAAAATAAATTTAGGATTAATCATTAAATTTTCTGATTAGTATTGTAACATTCACATACACATGTGAGTAAATAAACAAAAATATACATATACATATCTATGTTGATAAAAAAAAAAATAATAATAATAATAATAATAATAATAATAATAATGGTAAAAGTAGGAGGTTTATTTCTCCTTCAATATGCAGTCATGTGACTTGACAGAAGTGACATGACCTGTCAGTATATGAGCAGAAATGAATTCAAAAACATTCTCTTCCTTCTTCCCTGCAGACATGCACAATGGAGATAATGATACAACCAAGGTAGGACAATTTTGGTGGTTTACTTTTCCTCTACTTTTGTACCACACATAAACATGCATATTCTGCACACATTAAAACATTTGAAGTCAGTTGATACTAAAATCATTTAGAATATGAGGAAGTGTCCATTCCTGAAAAGATTAAATAGAACCATGCTGGGTTGTGACACTCTCTGTAGCTGAGTGGTCTAAAGCACACCGGATCAAACAGTGTTTTTTTCATACAAAGCGGGTACAGGTACAAACACTATTGGGGAGCACATTTTCATTATTAAGTTTTTTTTGAGTGTGCAGGCTGATAAATGTAATATACACTGTTTAAAATTTAAAAAAATAAACAAGGCATCTATTTCAAACACTGATATCCACTAAAAATAATGTTTGAAGTAATATATATATCTATATTCTATTATATATATATATATATATATATATATATATATATATTCTATATATATATTATATTATATATATATATATATATATATATATATATATATATTATTATATATATATTCTATTCTATATATATATATATATATATATATATATATATATATATATATATATTATATATATATATTATATATATATATATTCTATATATATATATATATATATATATATTATATATATATATATATATTCTATTATATATATATATATATATATATATATGTTCTATATATATATATATATTATATATATATATATATATATATATATATTCTATTATATATATATATATATATTCTATTATATATATATATAAATATATATATTCTATTATATATATATATATATATAAATATATATATTCTATTATATATATATAAATATATATATTCTATTATATATATATATATATAAAATATATATATATATATATATATATATGAAGAAATATAGTCTTAAGATGTAATACATTTATGGGATAAAGTGCTCAATATCAGAGATAGAGCGTGTGTAAATATAAAAGTGAACATAGAAGTCAACACTTAGAGGCTAGATTGCATCAAGCATGAAACAGACTGTCGCCTCTAAGTGTTGATTTCTATGTTCACTTTATATATATATATATATATACACACACTTATATATTCTATTTGTTGTAGTGTCTTTTCTCTAATGAGTCTATTATGGACTCTTCCACTTACTATAAAGTAGTAGGAAAAGTAAGTCTTAGGGGAATAGTGATAGACTGAATGCTGGTCAACCGATACACACCCCCAAGTCGTGTAACACACTTCTGTTGTATATACTGTTCAATACACTATTTATCTGCAACCTCTTGTTTTGTTATTCCTTAACCAATTACTTGGTCACAACACTATTGTATATATATATATATATATATATGTATGGTCTATCTTTTATATATACCCAATAGCCTTTAGAAATATAACCTTTGCCACCTACCCAATAACCATTAGGATATACAATAAGCTGGAAATGCCTGACGTTGTTGCCCATAATGCCCCATTGACCAGCATATATAGTCAAAGTTCAACCTGCACAACACGCATGGCCTGAAGATTGCTGTTGTGGTAGGATCCACCTAATTTGCATAGTGGAGTACCGACCCTATAAATATGGTTGGTACCGGGAAGACGGGGGAGGAATCAAGAGATTCAATCCAGAGACTCTGCCCGACTGCGACTAAGTCAACACATTCTCCAGGAACGGTCTTCCCAGGAATATACAAAAGACTATATGTAAATATTGTGTACATTTTCTTGTTTCAATACATTTTGTTCTAAGTACATTTTGTGTTGCATTATTATTCCATGCATTAGTCAAGTTTCAACAATTGCATTCAAGATTGAAACAGACTGCGATCATTTAGTCTCCACTTTTATATTTACATTTTCTATACTAGATACTTGAGCACTTTCACTCATAAACATAGTATACCTTGAAACTTTATATTTTTATCATATTCTGTTATATATATATATATATATATATAATGTACATATAGGAACCAACACTGCAAAGTAACTGTTAGTTTCACAACTCAAAACTTGGTCTAAAGAACACTTGTACTGCAGTGTCAATTTCTCTGTCCACACTGTCTATATCTACTACAAATATTCTATCGGCAATATTGAACACTATTCACCCATAAAACAAATTTTAAACACTAAATATAGATATGCAGGGAGCAATTATTTCCTTTTTTGTGGGGCAAATTTACAAGGGTTACATGATGGCCAGTGAGTGACCTCAGTTTGGGAAGGTAGCAGCTCATAAGGTGATTGTTGTGTAGACCATGAGGAAGGCAGCTATGATAGCCTGTGTTGGTTTGGAGAATGAATGGAAACCACATGGTCCAAACAAGTAACATAAAAGACATCACCAGGTAAAACCATTTCAAAGTTCACCTTTTCACACTGCTTGTTATATTCATATGTGTTATAGTTTCTCTGTGTGGGTTGTGTTGGTTTGGTTGGTTGATTTTGATTCGCAGCATATCAACCACTATGGGTTATATAATGCTGAAATCTAAATATTTTGTATGTAATTTTATACTTTCAACCACAGATATTTTGTGCATAAGTTTATACTTTCAGGGTAAATGTATGTTCTTTAGATATATAGTTTGTAGATGATAAAAGTATTGTTAGTAATTTTACAACAAAAACATATTCTATATTTTTTTTAGTATTGCATTGATTGTTATTTTGCTAGAGAAATGTATTACTGCTCATTTTATTATAAAAATGAGCCGTTGATTTTTGTGTGGAGCATTCACTATTTGCCCATACGTGGGACCTTAACAGGTGCTACCACCTCAGGTCAGGGTGGACCTGGGAACAAAAGCAATTAAAAAGGCGGTTCCACACTCCTCAAAACTTTTAATCTCCTGATCAGAGGCCTTGCTACCAGATGTAGTTTATCATCATACCCAGGACAATCTGTGTGGGACAAATAGTGACAGGTATACATATATTTGCATATAATTTCTTTTTGAGTATAATGCATATTTGGCACTCGTTTCTTTTGGCTATTTTGGTCCTGTTCTGCATTGTGTATATCATAGATAAACTAATGCCTAATATGGGAATTGAAGAGTGGCGATAACCAAGATAATTATTCTTTCTTTCTAAGCACCACATTAGAAAGAAAGAAAGAAAAATTACTCAAATAATAATTTTGCTTCTGGACAAATCTTCTTCTTTGAATTATATAAGATCTACTTACATCCAACTCATCAGGGACAGTCATTTGATTTGTATAAGAATGATTTTCTTCGGTGAAAGGACTGATATTTCCAAATCCTAATTTTCCTAAAAAAAAGAAACAAAGATAAAAAAATAAACAGTAACATATTAAAAAAACTCATAAACTTTTGTCTGCAGAGATAAAAATCATCAAAACCAATTATATGACATTCTATAAATATAGCTTGTAAATAGCAAATATTGGTCAAAGAGTATAACCCATTGATTTTCCAGCACCTTTGCTTAGAGAACCATGCTTGATTATCCATTTTACCAGACAAACAAAATTCAAATAATAATCATAATAATACAATACTCTGAAGTACTAGTTAGGTACTTTCATATCTTCAAAGCCTGAGAATTGTTACAGATTTAAATTAAACAAATATTAAATCTGAATTAAATGATTAAATGCAAGAGCAGCAGAAAACTCAAGTGTTCACTCATAATTTTGATTGGATTAAAAAAGGTGCTAGACCATTTGTTGCTGGAAAATCTGTGGTGTAACTGGATATAAAAAAATAAATTTTTGGTTATCTACTCTCATATCTACAATTTGGGGGGGGGGGATCACACATTCCAAGTATCAAAATTATTATAAGATATTTTGCAAAAAGAAAGGATGAGTTTCCTACCTTCTGAATCTCTTTCAAATTGAAGTCTTCGTCGACACATTGCTGTGTTTGTTTGAAATTGCTTTCTGCTTTCTGGTTCTCCGGTTAAATTTGGAGGTGTGGAGAATTCATAATCTGATCTTTCATGAGAGTTTCCTCCCATAACAGCAGAATGGAGCTGAAATGACAATGACCCGTATCTTAAACCTTGGCATGTGTCTTTGGATTAATTTAGTCAACTTTCATTGAAGCTTTTTTTTTTTAAAATTCACAATGCTTCAATTCAGTAAACCCTGATAGCTAAATTTATAATGTACTCGTAATAAAACATGGGAGAGAGGTGTAGTTTAGGAAGCTTTATTTAACTTAGAATAGTTTAGTACAAAAATAGTGGTTTAGATTAGGACAGTTCTTTAGTCAAGGGAGATAATTTCAAACCACAATACTTATGCACCACAATAATTTCAACTACATGGTATAACAAGTGATGAAGAAAATAATTTCTTTTTTAAAATATTTTCATTTAACATAGAAGCAATATCTATTAGATACTTACTATAAAGCAATGTTGTAAGTTCAACACAATAAATATAAGAAATAAATTTTGCAATTCATTTTT